CCGTCCCAAATTTTTTTCCAGAAGCGAATAATAGCTTCTGCTGAGGGTCGACCTTCGAGCTGAGTAGCAATGTTCGAGCTGAGTAGCAAGCTAATAATACGAAGATGAAGAGGAGTGTCGGCCAGCGAAGAGAAGAGAAGGATCTCTGGGGTGTTTTTGGAATGACCATTAGCCGTCCCTAATTTTTTTCCACAAGCGAATATTATTAGCTTCTGGTGAAACCATGGTTTCACCGGGTGAAACCATGGTTTCATCTTAAACCAAGGTTTGTATTTTTTATGAGGTTGTTTGGGTAGCATTTTCCCCAAACCATGGTTTGGGTCCCCAAACCATGGTTTGGGGTGCTACCCAAACAGACCCCTAATATCCATTGCCAAACTCACTCTCGATAGTTTATATGTGGTTTCCTTCTTTCCTAACATTTGTGTATTACAGGACATGTTCGATGGCATGGTCAGAGGGATTGGTAGACTTACTAGGAGCCTTTACTTGTTAAAGAAAGAAACCACACATGATTCTGTTAATAGTGTAAACAAAAGTGATAGTTTGAATGATACAAGTATTTCTGTTTGGCATTTTAGACTGGGGCATGTGCCTATAGATGTTATGAAGCGCTTGACTAGTATAAAATTTCCTGATTTTATCGCTGACAGTAATAAACATGAAATATGTGTTCAAGCTAAATAGCCTCGTTTACTATTTCTTCTAGTACCTCTACATCTACTTTCTGTTTTCAATTGTTGCATATTGATGTATGGGGTCCATATAAGACCCACACATCAAGGATACAGATATTTTCTTACTATTGTAGATGACTACTCTAGGGGAACTTAGATTTTCCTAATGCATTTTAAATCTGAAGTTGTAAAGTTTGTTAAAACATTTATTGCTTTTCTAAAAATCAATTTTCTGTCAAAGTCAAACCAATTAGAACTGATAATGGCTTGGAATTTGTTAACAGTCAAATGCATGAATTTCTTAATAGTAAAGGCATTATACATTAGAAATCACATCCCTGCTAGGTTTTGGGGAGAAGGAGTTCGAACTGCTGCCTACATAATTGATAGAACACCTTCTAAGTCATTAGGTTACATTACTCCATATAAACTATTGTACAAAAAGCCACCGAATCTAGAATATTTGACGATTTTTGGTTGTCTTGCTTTTGTTGTGAATTTGAATTCTGCAGATAAATTGCAGCCTAGAGCTGATCCATGTGTTTTCTTAGGATACCCAACTACACAAAAGGGGTATCTACTTTATAATGTTAAGAGTCAGTCCCTTATAGTTACTAGGCATGCAACCTTCCTTAAAAACAAATTCCCTTTTAAAGATGCTGATGATACAAATCAAGGGGGAGTTAATAAATTTAGAATTGATCCTTTTCTTATTGACAGTATTGAACAAAGCCCTGACATCTTGAATAATAGGATAAATTCTAATGTTAATACTTAGCAAAACATTGGAGAATCAAATAATAGTGAGCAACAATCCTAAGGTCATATAATACCTCATGATAGTTAGTATTCTCCCTCCATTCATCAACCATCTAGGCCTATTAGACACAGAAAGTCACCTTCTTGGGTTAAGGACTATGAATGTGATTTTTTGCCTAATACTCAACATCACTCTGATGTGGAAAATTCTAGTTCTGTACTTGGTCCTGTTAATTATGGCAATTTGACTACCTCATACAAGTGTTTTCTTTCATCTATTGACAAAGAAATTGAACTTGAAAATTATGAACATGCTTCTAGAGATCACAGATGGATAGAAACTATGCAAAATGAGATTAAGGCTTTAGAAAGCAACAAAACTTGGAAAATAGTCCCTTTACCTAAAGGACAGAAACCCATAGGCTGTAAGTGGGTTTATAAGGTTAAATATAAGGCTGATCGTAGGTTTGATAAGTTTAAAGCTAGGCTTGTTGCAAAAGGGTATAGTTAGAAGGAAGGAGTTGATTTTTATGAGACTTTTTCTCCAGTAATTAAAATAGTTACAATCATAATTGTTCTTAAGTTGGTTGCTATTAATAATTGGTCTATACATCAAATGGATGTGAGTAATGCTTTCTTGCAGGGAGAGTTACATGAGGAAGTCTAGATGACTATGCCTCAAGGTTTTGAAATAGATTCTAATCGATTTAATGTTTGCAAACTTGAAAAATCTTTATATGAATTGAAGCAAGCTTCAAGACAATGGAATGAGAAGCTTACTCAATCCCTTATTAAGGGAGGTTTTCAACAAAGTAAACATCATTATGCTCTTCTTGCCTACGTTGATGATTTAATCATAACTGGAAGTAGTATTCAAATTATTAATGAAGTAAAATCTTTTCTGCATAAAGGATTCGAAATTAAAGACTTAGGCACCATGAAATACTTTCTGGGTTTAGAAATTATGAGGTCAGAAAATGGCATTATACTTAACCAAAGAAAGTATGCCACTAAACTTGTTGATTAGATAGGTTTAGATGAAGTAGAAAATGTTACAACCCCCATGGAGCAGAATCTAAAACTCGTAGCATAAGAAACAAGAGATGATCAATATATCAATGACCCTGGTGTTTACAGAAGATTGGTTGGTAAGTTGTTGTATCTTACATTAACCAAACCTGACATATTGTTTACTGTGCAGGTTTTAAGTCAGTTTATGCAAGAACCTAAAGAGTCTCATACGAAGGCAGCGCTGAGGCTAATTAGGTACATTAAAGATAGTCCAGGCTATGGGATTTATCTCTCAACTAATAGCTCCACAAGCATAGAATGCTTCTGTGATTCAGATCATGGAGGTTGTTCAGATTCAAGACGGTCAGTTACAGGCTTCCTAATTAAGTTAGGGGGCTCACTTATTTGCTGGAAATGTAACAAGCAAAGCACGGTTTCCATTTCTTTGCTGAAGCAGAATATAGAGCTTTGAGGATGGCATCTGTTGAAATCACAAGGATTGTAGGGCTAATGAAGGAATTACATGTTCACGAGATTGAACCTGTAACAATTTACTGTGATAGCAAGTCTGCCATTCATATAGCCTCTACTCCTGTTTTTCATGAAAGAACCAAACATATTGAAATTGACTGCCACTTTGTGAAGGAGAAACTCTTGGCCGGAATGATAACCTTTAAGCATGTCAAGTTTGAAGAGAAACTTGCGGACATATTAACTAAAGCTCTTAGGGGTCCACAGCATGAGTATGTTTTGAGCAAGTTAGGAACTTGTGAATATAGAGTTCCTAACTTGAGGGGGAGTGTGGAATGTATTCAGATGTGTTTATAATGCATTGGGTTTAGCTATGTTGTTCTATTTGTATTATCTGTGTCTGTGAATGGGCCTACCCTTTAGGCCAAGATGCCTATAAATGCTCTTATTGTAATCAGGTTCTGGTGTGAGACCATATCAATAATGCAAATGTATTATTTTCAGTATGTGGGTTCGGTCCTTTATCAAAAATTAAATATATATGGCTTCTGGTCATAAGATAGAAAACCATATGTAAATGACTTCTGGTTATTTAATAAGGTAAAATATCAAATATATATGGCTTCTTTAAACCATTTGATAAAATAGAAAATCAAATATATATATATGTGTGTGTGTGTGTGGTTTCGGCCATAAGATAAAAGGTCAAAGTTGTATGGCTTTTAGCCACAATATAGAAAATCAAAACCATATGGATTCTGGCCATTTAACTTTAAACAGTAAACCTTTAGGGGGATTGGAAGTATCAATTGAAACTTGAGGTTCCATCAAAATAGTGATATTAAGTCATTGAGGAATAAAGAAAAAAAAATTTCTCCCATCACAATTAGTTTGAAAGGTATAATATCCACATCAAAATTAAATTATAATACTAAAATGTAAAGTGAAATCTCCAATTTTAACCATGGAACCTGATGTACAAACAATAGTAAAATTTTTTCAATACCAAATAGTGGTTCAGATTATTTTAGAAGATCAATTATAAATATGAATACTTCGAAACACTATTTATATGATGTTCGAGATATTTTTATTTGAATAAAGCAAACGATACTTTGGAAAAAATCATAGAGGTGATACTCTAGAGTTATGCTAAGGATCAAAAGTATATCATATGTATCTTGATTAGAGTTTTGTGTCGATAATGTGTTATAAAACTAAAGAAAGAGTAAAGAACAAGAAAAGAGAATAAGGGAGAATAGAAGATAGGAGTATTTTTCATTTTATTCAAGATTGCTAAATACATGATATATGGCTTCTATTTATAGGTATACTTTTACATCTTTAATAGAATCTACAAATTACATAATAATAGAAGATAATTGTAGGATATAATAATAATATGAGATATTGGGAGATATATGGATATCCATAAAAATATTATTATATTCATAACAATTATCCAAATATTTGTTCTCTTTTTTTCCTGTTTCCTCTCACTTATCCAAATGACATGAGTAATAATATTTTCTATCTGTATTTTTAAAGTTTTCTTTTCATTCAAACGGAGTACCACTTTGTTTCTTATTATAAGTCACTTATATCCCAAACCTGCAAATCAAAAAATATATTAAATTAACCAGTTTTTTTTTCACGTTTACCCTTATTAAAAGTTGAGAGAGAGGGAGGGAAGGAGGGGACAAATTGCACAGGGAATGAAAAGTTAAGAGAGAGATGGAGTTGAGAGAGAGGGAGGGAAGGAGAGGACAAGTTGCATAGGGAATGAAAAGTTGAGAGAAAGATGGAGAGGTAAAGGGAGATGGATGTGTTTCGAGGAGTCATTACTTAAACTTAAATTAATTAATTTTTTATTAAATTAATAGGGATAAAATTAAAAAAAATCATTAATTATATTACAAGTAACTTATATTTTAAAATAAAATTTTGAGATACAAGTGACAAATAATAAAGAATAGAGTGGTATATGATTGGATATTGTCTAACATGTACTCTTAAGAAAGAAAAGGGCAGTAGTTGTTAAACGCATATGGCAATTTGTCGTTGCCCCTAAGCCAGAACCACGTCGTTTTAGGTGGGGGGGAGGCGGAGTAGGAACGGAGAGAAGCCGAACGCTTCCGAGCATCAGCATTGAGGGCACCACCCATCATCGAGCTGCCAGAACCTCGGGCGGCCGTCGCCATTTACCGAGCCCCAAGTCCTCCGTCTCTGTCTTTCTCTTTTCTGTTTCATCTCTTTCCATCGTAGAGCTCTCTTGGCGGCGCATCCGTCACACAGTCAGAGTTTGCCTAGCTCCACAAAATCTGTAAGCATGACGCTCCATTCAGTTGTGATTCAGAAACTGCTGAGCACCAATGCCCAGATTGGTCGCCGAGTTGCTGGCCACCATTTGAAAGTATACACTTATGGCATGCGCAACAAAATGGTCATCTTTGATTCCGATAAGACCTTAATTTGTATGCGCAGTGCCCTCAACTTCATTGGGTCGCTTGCTCGGCAAAGGGCTCGTTTCATGTTTGTTAATACCAATCCTCTGTTCGATGAAATTTTTGAGCAAATGACGAAGAAAATTGGTTGCTACAGCCCCAGTGTGAATGCCCTTTGGCGCACTGGTGGGTTCTTGACCAATAGTAACAGCCCCAAGAAGTTTCGATCTCGGAGCAAGAAGCTCAGCTTTGGTCCTACTCAACCACCTGATTGTGTTGTTATTGTGGACACTGACAGGAAATCAACGGTTATAAAGGAGGCTAATAAACTGCAAATTCCTATTGTAGCTTTGGTTGATTCTAGCATGCCATTGGAATTTTACGAGCGAATTGCATATCCTGTTCCTGCTAATGATTCCGTGAAATTTGTGTATACGTTCTGTAATTTGATAACCAAGACATTATTGCTCGAGCAGAAGAACTTATCCAGCACTGAAGATGCAAGTCAAAACGCCCGGTATGCGTTATTTTTTATTAGCATGTTTATAATTTTCCTTTAGTTGAAGTGATTCTCAAAATTTTGGCTGGCCTTTGATTGACTTTGGTTAAAAGAGAAGCCAAGCGTATCAAAGAGCAGAAAAGAAAGATTAAGTTTACAAAGGGCGAAATAACTGTTATCCCTTATGCTGATATAACTCCCGTTGCTGAAGGTAGGATAGTCATTGGTTTTCGTTTGTGATAACATTGTAATGATCTCTTGGAAACTAGAACTGAGGAATAATTGCTTCAAAAGCAGATATGGAAGAGACTAAGAAGCTTTTGGACAAGCTTGTTGTTGTGAAGCTCAATGCTGGATGGGAAACAAAGACGATGGGTTTGGACATCCCAAAGTAAGCATTTCTAATTTTTCAAATTTAGTGTCTACTTGAATTGAATAAATCTGTTACCATATTTTTTTCTTTTAAACAAAATGATACCTTTATTTTCTTGGCTTGTATCTCATTTTTAGTTTTCTTGTAATAATATGGAAGAAGCTCATGTATAGTTGCGTAGGTTTTAGGTTTTTTCCAGCTGTTTTTATCATTTTTGTTGGTTGTCGTTCCTTCTCTCGCTGCTATTTCAGTTTTTTTTTTTTTTTGGGGGGGGGGGCTTTTCCCTTTGTTTTACACGTTAGAAAAAACTTCTGGTGCTTGTTTAGTTATTTTGCATTGACTTATGGTGTATTTATCGTTGATACGTACATGCATAAATATATGCTTGTGTATTAGAATACCCTCAAGATTTCAAATTATCGCACACACTAGTGGCCACATGATTTTATCTGAATTCAAATTTAAATTTTTAATTTCCTTCTAGATGCTTCTTTTAAGTACACTGATGGTTTTGCCAACGAAACTTCTATGCTCTTATGTAGATCTGCTGTTGATATCTGTGATGAGATGACCTTTATGGACTTAATTATCAACCAGATTGAGGTTTGAGTTTCATACCTAATGTACGATTGCCATTATCTAGTCAATCATAGCCCTGACTATTTAACTGTTGGTACTGTCTGTAGACTCTCAATTCCAAATATGGATGCGGGGTTCCCTTGGTTCTTTTGAACACATCTGACATTCATGATAATACTTTAAAGGTGAATTGCATTTTTAGTCTCCATTTTTAATTATTCGACCTTTACTATTACTAGAATTTACTGCTGCATTTTGTGTAGATCTTGGGAAAGTATTCGACATCAAGCATCAACATACAAGCTTTTAAGCAGGTTTACTTTAGTTTTCCTCGTCTTTTTTTTCCCCCTTCCAATTTCCTTCTTTTTGTGATAAATTAATGTTGAATGACTCCAATTAATCAGTATATCATAATCTGTGCAGGATCAAGGTTTAGAAGAAAAATTATCTGGTGATCATTCTAGCAGGGGGAAAGCGTATGTTATTCTTCGTATACCTGTTGTTTCCATTGAAACATATACATTCATTTGTGTGCTTGTGGAGTCTTGAGATTTTCAGTGCTGGTTGGTAACTATATTTACATTTAAAGCAAGTAAGACTTGTGCTGTATTGTTATTAACAGTAATTATGTGGGAGAAAATACTGATATCACTGCCACAGAATTAGATTATAGAATCTGTTCTATTAGCGTTTGGTTAATTTGAATTTTATTAGACTGCCACAATAGTTTGAGTAGGTAAGATGGAAACTGTGGTTGATGTAGATTATTGCCTCTGAAACAAGCCTAGTTAAATATTATATTTGCAATCTGCATGTGCCTTTTGCTAAATTTTCCGTGTGTTTAGTCTTAAGTGTCATTCCTGATGTCCCTCTACATCTTTTCATATTTTTAACATGCCTTTGTTAAATTTTCCGTGTTTAGTCTTGCTTCTACTCAAGCATTAATCATTTAATTCTAAAGTCCATCTCCATAATTTATGTTTAGAGTTGACCTCTTCTTTTTACTCAATTTAGACTATATCATCTGTAATGTACATGTATTTTGGAATTTCCTCGTTTTACTCAGTCAAAATCTCAATAATCAGATCAAACATGTAAGGACTTAAGGTTAATCCTTGATGTGGACCTACCCTTATATGGAAGTCCTTTGTCTTACCTCCTGGTCACACTTGTTGCCCCCTCATACATATCTTTGTAGCTCAAACATTTGCAAGGTGAACACTATTCTTTTTCAAGACTTTTCATAACACTTTGCTTGGTACACGATGTGAAACCTTAGGCCTAACATTTTTTTTTTTTTTCAAATATGGGTCATGAACTTTGCAGCTATATGCAGTATTTTTTAAAAAAAAAAAAATTGGGTGGTCTAATATTATCTCAAAATTTGTATGCGTTTTTGCTTGGGTTTGTCCATTTCTCCAAAACAACTTTAAACTACTTGGTTAGGATTGCCATTTGTCTTATCACTTCTAGATGTGGTACTCTATTGTAGAACAATATATTTAAATTGGAGCAAGCTGTCACTGTTCAGAAACGTCTTGAGAATAGCAACCGGCTTATTTGATTGGGCTTTGTGGATAGTTCTCCATGAGAATAGTTCCTTTTTAAAGATTTGCTCCCTTTGATTGCAGTTTCACTTGCATGGAAAATTAATGCATCGTCTTAAATTAACCTGATTTTCTGAAAATATGAAGGTATCCTTTTGAAAACGGTGGTGCATTCCTTTCACTAGCAGAATCAGGAACCCTTGATCAATTATTGGCACAGGTATGGATTTTTATCTTGTTGATGTTGAACGCTCATCTTTCTTTTCTCCTGTTGCTATGAGATGTAAAACAAGCAAGAGCAGTGAACACCTGAATTAAACAGCAAAATGCCAGTATTATAGATGTTTTCAATGTGCTTGTGTGGATTGCACCCTTTTTCATTAAATTTTATTTTATCTGGTGTTGATCAAATTTTGCATTGTTTTTCTCATTTCAGGGCAAGGAGTATATCCTTGTAATCAACTCGGACAATGTGGCTTCTGCCATTGATCCAAGTATCCTTGGTGTTTGATTATTATTGTTATTATATTATTGGAATGTTGGAATTTGCCATCTCTTCACCTAGCATTGAGATTCAATTTTGATTCTATTGACCTTGACTTTGTCTCGTAGACATATTAAATTATTTGCTTAACAATAAAATTGACTATTGCATTGAGGTACACAAAGATAATGGTCATACATTAGCCTAATGGTCCAACCTCCCTTTTGTGGTATCTGAATTTTCTAAATTCTTCTCCAGGTGACTCAAGGCCATTCCTTAGATACTCTCTCACAGCCAAAGAGTTTTAAGGTATGTGCATGCATGTGCATACGCATTCTGACTTTTGGGCTTTTGATGGAAACTTGTTTCCTTCCATCTCTTTTTTAACATTTATATTGCTCCCCAGAAATGTTTTGGGCTTCTCCAATCAGTTAACCTCACCCAAGCTAATACCGAATTAATCTCCTTCATGTTGCTGACGTTTTTGTTGTCTTCCTTTCTTGGATTATGTTCACTTTGGTACCAAAATGGTGGAAACCTATAGCACAAATATATAAATGAAAACTGTGATGACAGTAGTTGATAAATCTGGGTGGTGACAGGGCCAAAAAAGGAAAAAGGTAAAAATGGACAATGGAGAAACCATGGAAGGGTAGGATGGGTGTCAATAGAGTTCAAGGGTTCTAACCCTTCTAATGTAACAAAAAAGGGACAAAAGAAGACAGTCTTCCCTATATTTGAGAGGCCAGAGTCTCTACCACACTATACTGAATCCTTTGTTTTTTCACTCATCTAGACACGTCAAAATATAACTCGTAACCAATTCTACTAACTACTATGCTTCCCGTGGGTCATGGGCTAGTGGGCATGGGTCCACCATACTTGGAAGCTTTGGTTAACATTACAATTTTTTGTGTTCCGTGCAGCTTCTGGAAATTGCTCGAAATCCTGATAAACAGGTAAGTGTGTGTGTGTGTGTGTGTGTTATTACTTCCGCATTATTTTTGCTTCACTAATTCTTAGAATTTTTATTGTGATGCCATGATGGGTCATATATCATAAGCTGATTATGCTTTTCTATTTTTTTATTGTTTTTGGCTTACATATTCAAGATGAAGGACGAAGTTAAACTTATTGATACAACAAACATGTGAGTCAGATCCTCAGCTTTCTCTAATCTCCTAGTGCTTATTACCAGACTTGTTTAGTTTTCGATTATCCTATGTTGTAGGTGGGTGAACTTGAAAGCCGTTAAGAGACTTGCAGACACTGATAAACTAAAGTGCAACAATGAATCAGTTTCAAAGGTACCATTCCCTAACTGCCACTGTCCTGCTGTGAAGATTGATAATAAAATGAAGGGCTATTATTTGCAGGAAAATGACATTGACCAAAATCTTATACAAAAAACAGCACCTGGATCAACAATACAGGTTTATGTCTTGTTTATGCTTCTCTATGGTCTATTTGTATTTTGTTCTTGCATGTCTGTGTTTTGCTTAGATGTAAAGCAGGACTATTCCTTCAACATCATAGCTGCATTCATTATGTTTTAATCGTTTTAATTTCGAATAGGCACTAAATAGGCAATTGAAACTGTTTTATATCCACTTTGTTCATATACCTCTGGTGTTATCCTTTGTATAGAATCTTTCTGAATGGACGAATGATCTTGGACGATTTAGAAATTAGAATGTGATGAATTATTTAAACCCAATATACTATAAAATGGGGTGTGATAAAAACAATTGGTAACTGAGGAATGATAAAAATGGTGCCTGTCTCCTTTTCATAGAGAATATAAGAAGCTTGCCAGGGGGTAGAATAACGGCAAGAATGGGAAAAAAACTTGACCTACATCTCTTCAGCCCTTGATGCATCTTTTAGATTTGTTTTCCTTAGGTCATTCCTGGGCTACATATTTATATTAAGTCATGTCGAAAGATGTGTTAGGCTGTTATGAAGGTTTGCACTTCTACATATGCACTGTTCTATATATGTCCATGTACTTTGTCATTAATGATGACTAAATTTCTCTGATAAGGTGCAAGTTTAACTGCTTGAATTCATTAGTATTAGTTCATCAGCAAGTGTTTTCAGTATTGGTGCTCTAAATACCATTTGCGTCCATTGCATTATATGAAGTTTGCAGCCTTCATTGGGATAACTATTGCCTGGTGGGAAGAATAATATACACATGCGAGCGCACATTTGTCATATATGTATTTAATTATTGCTGTCTCTGATGTTTTTATCTCTTCTACTTGTCTGATAGTTGTTTGATCGTGCAATTGGTGTCAGTGTACCTGAATCTCGTTATCTTCCACTAAATAGAACATCAGATTTACTCCTTACACAGGTTACATTGGCTTTATCAATTTGTATATTTCCTGTTACAGCAATGCATTATGTTGGGTCTTTGGCAGACTTCCTCTCACCATTTTCATACTCATGCAGTCAGACCTATACACTTCCAAGGAAGGTGTTTTAACTCGTAATCCAAACAGAGCTGATCCTGTAGATCCTGAGATTCACTTGGGACCTGAATTTGAAAAGGTCAGAATCCATTTGTCTTCCTGTCTGGTCATAACCTATTAGCTGTTCTTGCTAGGATTTGTGTAAATTGCCTTCTTTCTCAGGTTGGAGACTTTCTATGTCGGTTCAAGTCTATCCCCAGTATTGTTGGGTTGGATAGTTTGACAGTAAGAGGTGACGTGTGGTTTGGGGCTAATATTACTCTGAAGGTATCAATTTCATAATCCATGCATCATTTCTTACAGTTGCTAGATATATTTACCCAGAAACTTTGAGAACTATGCTGTGATCATGTTTTTTTAAAATTTATTGTCTTTTGATTCTGTTCTTGGAAGACCATAAAAATGACAAGCTCATGTGCATACGCTTGTCCCTGTATATATGTATATGTGTGACACACATACGAATCCCTTGCAGTTGACATTTTTACTTTAAGGATTGTGGTTTAGCCAAAATGGCCTTGGTTTCTGTTAGGATTACTAAAAAGGCAAAAGATGCTTTCGTGGGTCTGAACTTTGACTTCCTAGTTTGGAGAAAGAAGTAGAAAAGTAGGGTTGCTGTAGGGTGACTATGGCCAAGGCTATGAGAGGTTTGTTTTGGAGAATGGGAAAGTCACCTTTTGGGGTCTATAAATCGTCCTTTTGGGGTCAGCAGGAGGAGGAGAATTTTTGTAGTGAACTTGGCCCTTGTGGAAGGAGAGAGCCAACCTCTCGAAAGTTTGGCAAGTCTGTTAGTTGGATGTAGCATGTCCTAACTGTGGTTTGTGGCTTGTGGCTTGTGTCTTGGTTTACTGTTTCTGTATCTCTGGTGTAGTAATCTGAATTTGTAGCTGTTATCCTCCCTTCAACGTATAACAGATTAGTGTTTGTTCTATGCATGTAATGAGTTTTTAGCTTTTGATTGTATCTTCGTGGGTATTCTGTTTCAATATAGTAGAAGTTTAGAGTTTCTGGTTGGGTCTTATCAGTTTCTTTAACAGAGATTAGATTTATTGGTAGTGAAGGAAAATTGTAATGGAGGACCAAAATAGTTCAATTGTGAAAATAATCACGCTTCGAATGGTTCAACTGTCAAGTACAGTTAAAGTTTTTTACTGGTAGTCTTTTGCTGTTAAATTTTTTGTACTCACGTCTATAATTTCTCTTCAGTATCAAATGTTAACGTATCTGGTACCCAAGGTAAACAAAAATGGCCAGTGTGCTGTCATCCTAAATATATGCTTACAAATAAAGAATATTACACGTACTTTTATTGTCAAGGAATTCGAGTGTGGCAATCCTAATTCCTTGCATTTTAGAAAAATTGCAGTCTTTCTCCGGTTAAACATTTTAGCCTTGTGTCTATTATTTTTCTTCAATATCCCGTATCAACATATCTAATCCCTATCCTGGGACAAAGACCAATAATGGCCTGATTGCATCCCTTGCAGCCATCCCACATACCTGCTCCACGATAAAGAATGTTATATATGTGGCAAGTCAAATTCCTTGCATTTATCAAATCCTTGAAATTCAAAATAACGGAATTCAAGCTGAATTACATGCGAATAAAACCAAATGTGCATGATTGTATTTAACTATTTGAACTGAGAGAACGATGAATTCAAATTTACCCCTCGTTTATCTGTTTAATTTCTTACACATGCTGTATCAGGGGGTGGTGACTATTGCTGCAAAACCTGGGATGAAACTTGAGATTCCAGATGGAGTAGTGATCCAGAACAAGGTAAATTTCTGCAGTTTCATAAGGAGCATTTTCTTTTGGCCAATAATAATAATAATGAGCATTTTCTGTTTCTTTGTAGTTTGTGTTATAAGACTTCCTTAAATGTAGCCGGATGTCTCTCTTGGGATTTAAGGCAATAAGGCAAGAAGCTCTCAAACGTTAGCGCTTCTCATGCCATGAGAGGCTCTGCCTTAACAATTTTCCCACTCTGTGCAGAGCCGGGGCAAGGGGGGCCTCTTCCCTAACTGAATGCCTTGTGTACCTCTGTGTTTTGGAGCTAAGTTATTTTCATAAGCCTAGCCTAGGAATTTTGAAATTAATAAAATAGGAAGTTATGAGTGTCTTTCGCATTATGTCGTTTTTGTTTTGTTCTGATAGTTCTTTAGCACCATCCCTTTATAGCGTCCCTTCAAACAGTGATAAATTCTGCCTCCTGGACAATAAAAATCTTTCCACAATTATAAACTTCTCAACATCACTCCAAAACTCTCTTAATTATGGTTCTCAACATCACCAACTCCCATGTCAAAGTATTTAGCACAAGATCATCTCCCCCACCCCCAAACATTTTCTCTAACCAGAGCTTTCAATCACTAATAATAACCTCTTAGACTAGTGTTTAGAATATATTAAAAAAAAAATGAAGAGAAACAATGAACCCGCAGCAAAATATCGGCAAGGATTCACAGCTAGTAACTGTTGTCTCTTCGTAATAATTACTCAGATAGGAGAGGGTAATTTCATGAATCAACCCTACGGTGGATGAGCTTAATTATTTTATGAAGTTAGATAAAACTTTTGGCAAATATCGTCCCAGGGTGTGGATTGTCAATTTTAGGAAAGAAAATTGCATGCGGAGGGAAAATGTCCGTGGCCAGTTTAATCATTTTCCCCATGCTTCTCTAATGTTTCTTTGTTCTCTGTCAATTCGAGCCTCCAACTTTTTGGTCAGGTACGTACTACACTAACCAAACAGCCGAAAGTCGTTCTGGCTACTTTTCTGTTTCTAATGGAACAGTCATCGGTTTGCAGCCGTTATTTCCTCTTTTGATATTCTGTGAAGGGTTTCTGGTTATTGGCATACAGAACCCCAAGTAAAACACTGATTTTGTTTCTACTGAGATCCCTGCCTGTATATATTTGGTGCAAGACATTTAATGTTTAGTAAATTTCTTGTATTTCACATCTGTTTTGGTGACGATTCTTCAAGAAGCTAGACCGAAATTGTGTTGACTTAAGCCTAATGTAGTTTTTGGCCCAAAAAAAGCCTGATTTGGTTCAATAAAATGCAACATTAAATTACTACTAAGCATTTTATCATTCGGAAAATGTTTTTTAATGCCATACAGCAGTATTTCCGGCTTCTTGTGATTGTAAACCTTATCCTCTGCTTGATTTGCAGTTCTCTAATGAGAAATTCTACTTGAACAGGTGGTCAGTGACCCTGCGGACATCTAGGGAATTATGGTTTGTTGATTCTCATGCTTATTAAGCAGGGGAAGCTTTGGACTTTGCGATATTTAGCTTAGCAGTCAGCCATCTGTAAGCGGTTTAGTTTCTCTGGAGCCAAAGGCTTTTAGGTTTCAGAAATAAAAAAGAGGTCACTTGCATATTCTTTCAATCATGGTAGCCAGGTTTTTTGGATTAAAAAAAAAAAAATAGTTGAAACCAAGGCATGCTTCCAGGCTCACACAGTGTTAGTAGAAGTAATTACAGATTGTCTACCAACAAAGTATTTACATTAGCAATAGGATTTGAACTCATGATTTTGTGAAATATGAGTCAACTCTGCAGATATTTATATTATGATTCTTTACTTTTTCGTGTTTATTAGTTTATTAGTTTTATATGTTGTAACTTTGGGGGCATGGCTTGATTTTACTGCTGAGGGTCCAAGCTGCACGTGTTGCTGGTTATTTTATCACGCTAGGTTATTAGTGTTTGATTTAAAGGTAATCATATTTATGTAAACCACTTAAAATTGGTCGCCAATGCAGCCAATAACAACCGATTCAGTGTAGATCATTAGAGCAAGCTGTCCCAAAAAGCATTCGAGAAACCACATAAAGACCAGTTTTGGCATGGATCATGGTTTGATTTGAACATCCAAACGTGATGTATCTTTTCATTCTCTTTACTTTTATTCAGGATTCCCTTGCCATGGTATTCAAATTCTGTCCCCAAAAAAAAAAAATAAATAAAAGACATCAATGGCTAGGTGTCACACAGATGTGGGCCCAGATTTATTTTAATCGATGCTACTATGCATAACAAATTGAGGTTCAGATATTGACCACATGTTTTTATTTTATTTCTTGCTAAATTTATTGCATTATATGTAGTCCCTCCAATTTTAAATGTTAGATTTAGCTTTTGATTCTAAATGTAAAAATTTGATTTATGTTATCTCATTTTTAATTTTTTCCCCTAAACTTTTGTATGCATCTTGTTTCCTAAATTTTGAGAAATAAATACATTTTTTCATAAATAGTTAGATTGATTTTTCTTAATACCTACAGATTAATTATACAACTCTTACGTTTATCGTTGGGAGGGTAACTCGAAATATGTCAATGTCTCTTCTTGTTCGCTAAACTTGCCGCTCTTTTTCGTTGGCCACTTCTTTCTGCTTGCAAGCACTTTATCCTCCGCATTCCATACTTATGTTTTTGTTTTCTTTATCATAGTTTAAAATGCCAAGTCATTTAGCCCCAAAAAATGTTAAAATCATTTTTTTTTTTTGCCACATAATCACGTCACACCATCATCATCAGCACTACTAATATATATTAGCATCGCTAGTAAGTGGAAGGACTAATGATTTAACGATTTTAAATTCGATGGACCAATTCCTCAAAAAACGAACTTCGGTTCACCCAAACAACTAGTGCTAGAAATGAGGTTTTCCCTTTTAACTAATCACCATGAGATAAAACCCATCTGCCGCAATTTCTAAGATAAAATCACAGAACTTGAAAGATAGATAATAAATATAAACTTGACCATTTTTTTGTAATAGAATTTTAATTATAGGTTTGGGTTCAGCCCAAGCCAATGGCAGGGTGCTTGAACAGCTCCTCTTAGACGATACTCATATTAGGCAGGACGGACCTATATTATACTTTGAAGTGTTAACCTAGGCATTTTTTATTCTAAAATGCCTTTCCAAACATTGTGACGGGAAATCAAACCCCCTTTCTTTTGGATGAGAGGGTGCGGTTCTCAATGCTGATTACAAGTTTGACCATTTAAAATTAAGAGGATAAATATTAATTATAATTTATAAATAATATGACTTGTCATAAATTAGATCTAGCTCGCTTTCTATAGAGTCTCGCATATTTTGTCACTAAAAATGTGGGTGTGTTGCCTTGAAAAACTAAATCTAATCTGTTTTTTCCCTTGAACTTTCTTTTAAATATATTTTGCAAATTAAACATTTCTGCTACATGAAAGTTGGTTTGAAATTTAGTAGACTAAAGTATAAGATCACAAAACTTAAATGATAGAAATAAATATAAATTTTACCATTTAAAATCAAGAAGCTAAATATTAACTATAATTTATAGATAGTATGACTTGTTATAAATTGTACATATATAAATGTAGGTATGTTACCTTGAAAAACTAAATGAATGGATGAATGTTAACAAATAAAAGGTTAGAATTCATAGCTTTCCCTGTGTTTTCCTTTTGTCTTTTTTGTTTTGGTTTTCATTTTTGAAGACAAATTTTATCAATCAAACGGGCCCTCCTATTGTAGCGGCAATCTAAAGCGCAACACAATCTTGATATAAGCTTTAAGAAACAAAAGTCCTGACAAATATATAACACAGGAAAAGCAAGGACAAAAGGAAAAATAAAACACTAATTGAAAATTCCATTAAAAGTTAAAAAAAGAAAAGAAAAGAAAAGAAAATCACTTTCTCCTATACCAATCCCCCACAATATTGAAAGGAAAAAAACATCTCAACCATATGAACACACTACTAGCTAGGTTAATTTTCCTGAGAAACTTTGGCATGGTAAAGGAATATTATTACCACCGCCTTCACCATCCCCACCACCGCCACCACCGCCGGCATTATCATTAGTGACACATTGTGCACTTATCACACTATCAACCAATTTTCTCTTTGGCCTTGCCTCTTGCAGCATCAACACAACATCTCTCATGGATGGTCGATCTGATGGATTTCGACAAGTACAAAGTAACGCAATCCTAAGCATCTGAATCATTTCCTCCTTCACCGATGTACACTCAGCTCCAACTTTCTTATCTAATATGGAATCAATCCCTTGAGCTTTGATCTTAGATCTCACCCAATCCACAATACTATTTCCATCACCAAACTCCGCATCAACCGACCGTTTTCCGGTCAAAATCTCCATGAGCAACACTCCGTAGCTGTAGATATCACTCTTCTCATCTACTTGTAAAGTATAAGCATATTCTGCAAAACCAAACACGGCCTTAAGCGATAATGATAATAATGATAATCCAAGTAATGCAAAGACACCAAAATAATGTAAGACAAGGTGGTTTTGTTCTTTGGATAGCCTTACTTTAATCAATGGACTAAAGACTAAAGTCAACATCGTCATAATTCTAAAGGGTTTGGAGAATTGACAATATTCTTAAGTGGGTCCCAATCAAAATATTTGTCGATCTTGTTAAAAAAAAAAAAAGAAGTGAATTTTAAAAAAAAAAAAATGCAGGATTGTGAAAGAACATAAAGGAAAAGAGTCAAAAGACACTTGATGCCCATAGTGCAATGAATATGCACCGAAAGAAAGTCTCCTGCGCCGTACTTTAATAAGTATGGCATCTCCACATTTTATCCTTCAAAGTAATGTCCAGTTTTTCACATTGCAAACACCTAACATTTCCACATTTTATTAATCAGGACTCTTTTCTAGGAGGTATTTTTTATTTTTTATTTTAACAAGATATTTGACAATTTTAAAAAGTAAAAATTAATATTATGTTGGAGGTTTAGTATAGTTACTAAAAGTAATATTGAAAATCAACTTAAATTTTCTGTTAAAAAAGCTTAAATTTTATTAAAAAAATTACTAATTTTAAATATTTTTATTCATACGTGTAATTTTGTTAAAAGTAACTTATATTTAGAATGAAAGTTATATATTTAGAGTTTTTTAATTTTTAAATTAGTACGTATGTGTTTTTTTTCCTAATTAAATTTTTAATTTTACTCTATTAACATCGTCAATCCTTGCATAGAGACTAAAAATACTAATAAAACAAAATTATAAGAGCAAATATTGCTAAAAAAAAGGTAAAATTAGATAAATTAATTAAGAAAAATATATAGGTACTTAATTAAAAATTAAGAGAAAGTATAGGTACCTCTAATATGATTTTTTTTTTCTTTTTACTAAGATTTAACATTTTATTTCAGCGTAATTCAATAAATATTTTTCTCAAAAAAATGTATATTGCCAATTTTTGGTAAGAAAATTAGGGGAAAAATGAAAGTTTGTAATTTTTTTAATTAGAAAATAAAAGGCGGAAAATTTGGGAATTGAATCGAAGGGTGTCTCACCTGGAGCTATGTAGCCGTAGGATCCAGCAATGACGGACATAGATTCATCACTCTGAATCAACTTAGCCACCCCAAAATCTGCCACTCTGGCTTCCATCTCACCGTCCAATAATATATTGCTCGGCTTGAGATCCCGGTGCACGATCACGGGATCACAGTCATGGTGAAGATAGCAAATCCCTTGAGCCACACCCAAGGCGATCTTGTACCTCGTCAACCAATCAGCGACCAGATTATTATTATTATTTGCTTTATTTTTGCCATGCAATAAATCATCTAAATTCCCATTGGGCATGTACTCATAGAGCAGCATCGTGCACTCCCCGTTGCTGCAACACCCTAACAATCTCACTATGTTCCTGTGCCTCACGTTCCCCAACACTTCAACCTCCGCTAGGACCCCTCTACGCCGTCGGATTATGTTGCTGTTCTCCTTATGCTTTCCCCAGAGCTTTTTAACGGCTACAATGTCACCACCTGGCATTTCCACTTTATATACCGTCCCTGTGGACCCCATCCCGAGGACCTTGTTGGACATCGACAAGCATTCTACGACGTCGTCCGCCGTGAAGTTCAAACGCTGGAACGCCGTCAGTGTCCACGGCCCGACCTCGCCGTGGTCGTCGGAGCCGCGGCCGAATCCTCCGCCGTAGTTTGCACGGAAGCAGCGTGTGCCAGCGACTAGGGCGAAAAGGCCGATTCCGAACGCCGCCGCGACAATCCACACGATGGCGCCGGCGGTTTTCTTGGGCTGTTGTTTGTTGTGAAGCTCGACGTCACTGCTTGCAGCGAGGGCTTCAGCGTCCGCTGCGCACGGTTTTGCCAGAATGCCGCCGCAGAGACCGTCGTTACCGGTGAATGATGATGGGTGAAAGTTTGATCCCGCCGAGGGAATTGGTCCGGTGAGGAGGTTGTAACTGACATTGAAGTTTTCTAAGGTTGTGCAATTGTTGAAATTGGAAGGTATGGTACCGGTGAGGGAGTTGTGTGAGAGATCGACGTCCGTGATAGATGGAAGAGCAGAGATTTCCCAAGGGATTATACCTGTGAGGGCATTGTGGCTTAGATTCAATTGAATGAGCTTCTCGCAGTGGCCGATGTCCCATGGGATGGTACCATTCAGAGAATTACCATGCAATTCGATTCTGTAGATATTCTGGCACCCGATAAAATCTGGGATTTCGCCAATGATTTTTGATGAACTTGCGGAGAAAATCTGTAGATTGGAAGCGTTCCAGATGTTACTGGGTAATCGGCTTCCAAAAG